GCTCCAGCTGCCTCTAGACTTTCAGTAGACTTTCTGCCTGCACTGCTAACCTCTGTGGGATCCATGAGGAATACATTTGTTCTGTTTCTGCATTTGAGTCTCACCTTATTGTTTCTCACCTGACTGACACACCTGAACCCCACTCCCCACTCACTACCCCATAAGGGTTCTGCTACAGAGTGGCTGTCTCAAGAGACAGTGGCTGTCTCAAGAGAGGGACCCTAATACCAATATAGAAAGAAAGCACAACAGTAAAAATCACAACACGTGCCTAGTTGTTAAGCAATGACTCCTTTCCCCGTCATTTCAAGCTGATCAGTGTTTTAAGACTCAACTTTATGTTCATAAAATTGTATTCCAAATTCTAGATAGGTGTACAACAGTGACACCTTGTTAAGTACAAACTTATTTCCTCACTCTAATAAAGTTTCAATTTATTTATTGGTATCAGGGATCGAACTCATGACCTAGACTTGCCAGGCAGGTGCTTCTGGTGCTGAGCTAAAGCCCCAGCCCTAAAGTTTCAATTTATTAAAGAAATTATTGGGGCAGGGATTCAGCTCAGTGGCTCAAGTACCTGCTTGGTAAGTGCAAAGTCATGATTTCTATTCTCAGAATGCCCCCCCCAAAATTATTTTTTTCTCCAGTCAGATTTTATTGGTATATTTTAAGTATACATAATGATCACATTCATCGTAGAGAATTTATACTTGTACATAATACAACTTGTTTCTTTTTCTTTCCCCATTTACCTACTCTCCCTTCAATCCCTCTTGCCCTCCCCGTTTACAAAATAAAGAAAATATTTTAAAAACAACGTCAGCCTATAAAAATTAAGCTTTAGTTTTCCTTTTTATCTTTTAGCTTAAGCTTCTGATTTCCTCAGATACTCTCCTACTCCCCCTATCTCAGGTTTCCTATTCATAAAGTTTCACTGTGTAGATTCAGGTCCCTGGGAGACACACATTAGAATAGTTAAAAATACGATTTGTTTTGTTTGTATCAACTGAAAAGTAGAGGCAAGAAAGCAGAGTTTGGCAAAGAAGGCCTTCAAACCACAATGCTAATATGTTTCCTGTTCAGGGAAAGAGGGAGAGAAATAGAATTGGGTAAAAAGACTCAGACTACAATGCAGAGGTGACAAATCTCAACCAAGCCTGTGTGCTGTGTTAACTTTCCAAAACACCTGGGCTATAAACAATCTAAAGGAAGAAAAATTTGATTTGGGTCACAGATTCACAGAGGTTTTAGCCTGCGGTCACTTGCCTCGGATGTTTCTCAACCCAGACGAGGCAGAATGTCAGGCAGACAGCACGGGGTAGGGTAGAGCCTCACCTCAGCAGCTGAGAGGCAGTGTGCATACGTGTGTGGGTCAAGAGGGCGTCTGAGTACTTTTCTGTTACTGACACAAAATATCCAACAGGTTAGAGGAGGACAGGTCTACTTGGCTCACAGTTTGTAAAGGTTTCAGTGCATTGGTGGTTGGTTCTGAGGGTTTCATGGCAGAGGAGCACTGTAGGGAGAAAGTTGATGGAAGAAAACAGTGTACTTACCCTAGCATCACACACCCCAGATTCAGCCACCTCCCAAATCTCTACCTATGACTGCTGTAGAGGAGCATCTAGATGCAATCCATAAAGGGAGGAGGGGGACACAGAACACACTCTTCAAGGGCATATCCTCAGTGACCTACTTGGTTCTACTACACTCTACCTCCCAAAGAGTTGTTTTTTTTTGTACCAGGAACCTTACTCAGGACTTTGGACTTGCCAGGCAGTTGCTGTGTCAGTGAGCTATGTCCTCCACCTGCTCCCCAAATTTTTCCCACTTCTCAGTAAGTAGCCCAGTAAGCTGTGACTCCATCAGGGGGTTAATCCATTGATAAGATTAGAGTTTTCATGATCTAATCACTTTCCAAAGAATCTAACCTCTGAACACTGCTGCATTGGAGGTCAATCCTTGAACATATGAGTTTTTGGGGAATGTTTCATATCCAAACCCTAATTATACATCTCCCGAGTAAAGACTGTTACAGCAATCACTGTAGGAGATTACCACACTTTGGTACAACGTGCTCGGCAGCTTAGGGCTGCCCAGGAAGCCAACTGTTCTTCCCACAGCAGATTTCACATTCTTACAGGTAAGGTTCTTCTGTTTTCCTTTTTTCTTTTCTTTATCTCTTCCCTTTCTCTTTCCCTTCCCTTCCTTTCCTTTCCTTTTCTTTTTTTGAGATAGGGTCTTGTCTTGTAGTACAGGCTGGTTTTCATCTCACAGCAATCCCCCTGGCTCAGCCTCTTCAGTGCTGGGAGTATAGGCATGTACCACCGTGCCTAACTAGGTAAGTTTTTCTGGAAGGTGGTCTGAGCAGCATACTTGCTGGTGGGTCTTTAGATTGGTTGCTCTATTGGGTGAGATGTTACACCTGTGGATCAGGTGTATAGTGGAAGTACCTGTATAGCTAAAGCAGGAACGATACCAGAAATAAATGTTTACTTTGGTAAGAACAAATTTTATGATCTTCCAGCATGCAAAAAGCCCAGTGCAGTCAAGTTGCCACTGAGAAGTCACTGGATCCCTCAAAGAAGAGTGCTATGTTGGATATTTATTCTAGCTTGTTTCTGGCAGGTTGGTTGGACATCCAGGGGTGATGGTAGATCTGTTGGCTTGGTGAGAGTCGATGCCAAGGCCTTCCCATAGTCTCCATCCCTGCCACCATGGTCACTCCATGTGTGGTCCTGCCATGCTTCCACTTTTGCCTCCCCTTGAGCATGTCTAAACATTTACAGCGTAAATCAGATCAGTCCAGTGCTGCTCAAACCTTACAGTGACTCCATTCTTTACTCAGTAAAAATCTGAGTACAGGGACTTAGAGAGCCCTGTGTGATTTGTCTTTGTCCCATACCCTGTTGGGGACCACAAATTCACAATGACTAATTTTGCATACTTCCATAAGGGATAAACTGAAGTTTGGGATTACGGGAACCCTCTTGAGACTTTCCATTAACCCTTTTGGGATGGGCCATCCTCTCCTACCCACCAAGACTAAACTAAAACTACTAAGATTAAAAAGAACACTGCAGGACAAGATCCCTCTTAGCATAAAATCTTCTCCGTTCTTTTGAGTCACCCCAGGATTACCCGTTGCCTGCTGAGTCACCAACCTCTGAATCCTCCTCCAACCTTGAATCTTTTGCTAGCTCCCTTACATCGTAACGTCCAACAGTGACTGGTTTGGAGTATTTTAGTCTCTGTCCAACCTGAGGCACTGACCTCCTAGCCCCTTGTGATGCATTATTAAATTTGTCTCTTTTTCTTCTTTCATTCTTTCACTGTACCCCTCAGGAAGGCAGTTGGGGATCTTGGCCAGGTCCCCGATAGTGCCCCCTTTCCTTTCTAACTAACTCACTAGCTACGTGTTTTCCTAGGTTCCCTCTATGGCACAGCCACGCTGGCCTTTGTGCTGCTCTTGGATTGGCCAGGTCCTCCCAGCTGAGCCTTTTGCATTCCCTTGCTGAAACACTCCCTTTCCTTCACCTTTTCTGATGTCCATTTTTTGAATGGGATCTTGCAGTGTAGTTCAGGCTGATCTTCAGCACTGGGATCACAGGGGTGCGCCACCATGCCTGGCACCTCTTTGGATATTTGCTTAAATCTAGGGCTTTTAATCAACCCTGTCCAGACCCCTTGATTGCCCTATTTACTATGAGAAAATACCCAACACTTTCCAGTCCATCATTGCTGGATGTATTATACCCTGCTCTGCTTTCTTCCCCATTGAAACTGAGTATCTCCTAATATTACATTATTTATTTGTCTATTTATTTTTTAATTTCAAAGAGAAAAAACAATAAAAGTGATACAGAATTTCAAAACAACTTGAGAATGACAATATGCAATGTATGTACCATTGTTACCCTCTGACTGATGTGCTTTGAAATTTTGTTGTAGTTTTTTTTTCCACTTCTTCTTTTTTTGCTATTTATCTTTGATTTTTTTTTTTTTTTCTTTTTTGAGACAGGGTCTCCCATTGCAGTTTGGGCTTACCTTGAGCTCAGTTTGTAGCCCAGGCTGGTCTTGAACTCTGAACAATCTTCCTGCCTCAGCCTCTCGAGTGCTGGGCTTATAGTCGTGAGCCACCATGCCTAGTTTCTATTTATTTTTTAATGGATTTGAAAAGAAAAGAATTTCAAAACAAGAAAATAGATTAACAATGGGTAATATTGCATAGTGTTATTTTCAAATTAGTTGTTCAGATTACAAGACAAAGGCATTAAAAATTAAATAATATAAGCCCAAATCATTCTTTTCAATGAACTAATAGGTATTGGTAGTATAATCATTTTAGTAATCGTGTGTATGTATATATATATATAATATATATATATATTATATATATATATATATGTATATATATATTTCCCTTTTTCCCCCTTTTCTCCATCCCAGTTGTTCTTCCCTTTTGAGCAGTTTCTTCTTCTTTCACAACATTGTACATTTGCTGGGTGTGGTGGTGTACACCTGTAATCCCAGCACTTGGGAGGCTGAGGCAGGAAGATCGCAGAGGCAGGAGGATTTCTGGGAGTTTGAGGCCAGCCTGCATGGCATAATAAAACCCTGTCTCAAAAAGACAAACAAACAAACAAAACATTGTACATTTTGGACTTGCATTTATTGAGCCATTCCTGCCATGAATCCAACTTGGTTATGGTGTATGATATTCTTGATGACTGATACATTGTTTGTTAGTATTTTTATTTATTTATAGTCTTTTTGAGACAAGGTTTCAGTATGAAGTTCAGACTGGCCTTGAATCACTTTGTAGCCCAGGCTGGCCTTGACCTCACAATGATCCTCCTGAGTGCTGGGATTACAGGCATAAACCACCTCATCTGACTGTTAGCTAGTAGATTTTTGCATCTATATTCATTAGGGAGACTAGACTGTAGTTCTTTGTTGGGGCCTTTTTCTGGTTTTGGTATCAGGGTAATAGTTGCCTCCAGGAATGAGTTAGGGAGAATTGCTTTCCTTTCAATACCATTGAAGAGTTTGAGGAATATTGATATTAAATCTTCTCTAACTTTCTTGTAGAATTCAGCCATGAATCCATCAGGACCTGGGCTTTTCTTTGTTGGTAAGTATTTAATTACGTTTTCAGTTTCATTAACTGATACTTGGTTATTCAGAATTTTTCTAACTTCTTTATTTTTGGTAATTCATACATTTCTAGGAGTGTGTGAATTTCTAGTGTGTTTTATCTTATGTGAGTAAAGATTGTTGAAGTAAGTATTGATGATCTTCTGAATTTCCACAGGATCTGTAATGATTTCACCATTTTTATTCCTCATTGCATGAATTTGAATATTTTATTTCTTTTTTTGGAAAAGGTTTGCTAGGGATTTATCAATTTCATTTATTCTTTCCAAGAAGCAACTCTTCAATTCTCTGTATTGCCTTTGTCTCAATTGCATTAATTTATGCTTTGATCTTTATAATTTCTTCCCTTGTATGGGCTTTGGGTTTGACTTACTCTTCTTTTTCTAGAAGCTTGAGATGCAGCACTATGTTTATTTGTGCTAGTTCTGTTTTCCTGATGTGGGAATTCACCACTATAAATTTCCCTCCTAAGACTGCTTTTGTTGGGCGCTACAGTTTCTGGGATGTTGGATTTGCATTTTCATTTGATTGTAAATATGGTTCAATTTCATCTGTGACCCATTCATTGTTCAGGGGGGTGCTATTTAATTTCTGATTCTTTATAGAGTTTTTGTGGTGGTTTCTTTTGCCATTAATTTCCAGTTTCACTGCAATATGGTCAGATAATATGCATGGGAGAATTTCAGTTTTTTTGCATTTACTTAGGCATATTCTATGGGCTAATATATGATTTATTTTAGTGAATGTCATGTGTTCAGCTGAGAAGACTGTGTATACTGATGTTGGATGGAACATACTGTAAACATCTACTAAGTCCATGTGTGCACAGGTTGGTTCAGTTCTGTTATTTCTTTGCTGATTTTTTGTCATTAATCTATCTGTTTGAGACAATGTGGTACTAAGCTGCCCTGTTACAATTGTGTTGTTCCTTATTTGATTTTTTTCATGTCTATTAATATTTATCTTATATAGTTGGGTGCTACCATATTTGGTGCATATGTATTTATGATTGTAACTTGTTCCTGTTGAATTTTTTCCCTAACAAGTATGCAGTGACATTCTTCATCTCTTTTGATCATTCTTGGTTTCAAGTTCACATTGTCTGCAAATAGAATAGCTACCCCTGCTTTTTTTTTTTAGGTTCCTGTTTCATGAAGTATTGTTTTCCATCTTTTGACTTTAAGGCTATGAGTTTCTTTTTGAGTTAATTGAGTTTCTTGCATATAGCTTATTGTTGGATTTTTTTCTTGATTGATTCTGCCAAACTATTTCTTTTAATTGGTGAATTGAGACCATGTACATTGATGGTTATAACTGATATGTATTGACTTATCTATTTTTTTTCAAACTCACAACCATGCGCTTGCAAGGCAGGCGCTTATGCTGCTGAGCTAAATCCCCAGCCCCTGGCCTATCTTTGATGATATTTTCCTACTGTTGGTTCCCTGCTTTTCTTTTCTATTTAATTGCTTCCACTGCTTGGTGGTTTCTTTCTGATGTTGCTCTTGGGACTGTGGTTATTTTTATCTCTATCTAGAATATCTTTCAGTAGTCTTTGTAGGGTTGATTTGGTGGTCATGCATTTCTTTCTTTTTTTCTTTTTTGTTTCTTTTGTCTTTTCGAGACAGGGTCTTGCTATGCTATTCAGGCTGGCCTTGAACTCACTTTGTTGCTCAGGCTGGTCTTGACTTTGCAACAATCCTCCTGGGATTGTGCTGGGATTACAGGCATGCACTGCCATACCCGGTGGTCATGAATTTCTTTAGTTGTTTTTGTCATGAAAATATCTTATTTTTCCATGCATTTTGAAAGATAATTTGTGGAGTACATCAATCTGGGCTGGAAGTTATTTTTTTTCAGGACTTGAAATATTTCACTCTAAATTCTTCTTCATTTAAGGGGTTATGCTCAGAAGTCAGCCATGATTCTAATGGTGTTTCTTTTATAGATGATCTGTTTATTTTCTCTAATAGCTTTTAATATTCTATCTTTCTGCTGAATTTCTGGAATCTTGATTTTTTTTTTTTTTTTTTTTTACCAGTACCAGGGATTGAACTCACCACCACGCACTTGCAAGGCAGGCGCTGAGATAAATCCCCAGCTCCCGAATCTTGATTATTGTATAACTGGGTGTGGATTTATTTTGGTTCTGTCTGTTTGAAGTGCTGTATGCCTCATTTATTTTATGTCAGACTCTGTTTCCATGCTTGGGAGGTCTGCTGCTATTATTACTTCTGTAAGTACCCTTTTATGTCATTTGTTTTGACTCCTCCTTTTTCACTGACATCTCCAGACTTATATTGCTTTTCTCTGCATTGTCTTGAAGTTGTTGAATTGTTATTTCCTGGCACTTTGCTATTTTTAAAAGGATTTTCCTTTCATGATTGCTAGTCATGATCCTGTCTTCAAAGTCTAAAGATCTATCTTCAGTTTTGTTCAAGCAGGTTTGCCAGCTTTCAATAGAAGTTTTAATTCCTTGGATATCCCTTTGAATCATGCATGCATTGCATTGTATTTCTCCCCTGTATTGTTCATTCAAGGTTTCCATCATTTTCCTATGCTCCTCTATTTTTTAAATCTATGTCTTCTCTAGATATGTTGTACAATTTCTTCAATATGGCTGTCATTTCTTTTTTTTTTTACCTGAGAGATTATTTCTGATCTGATTTCCTTGGTAGCCTTATGGATTTGTTTCTATTTACTTATTTATTTATTCAAATCCTTTTATTTAAAAAAAAAGGCCAAAATATTCAAAACATGTCAGTCAGGGGCAACAATGGTACATGTATTGCACATTGTCATTCCCAAGTCATTCACCCAGAGCACAAGACATCTGTATTCAATTCTCTAAACAGTACCAGCACAAATCTGTCTCTTCAATGACTTCAGAGAAGTCAGTAGTATAGCTGAACACACACATACATGTGCATACTTTTTTTGAGGCAGTGTTTTTCTATGTAGTTCAGGGTGGCCTTAAACTCACTTTATAGCCCAGGCTGGCCTCAAACTTGCAGCAGTCCTCCTCCCTCAGCCTCCCAAGTGTTGAGATTACAGGCATGTGCCACCACACTTGGCTCATAAAGTTGTTTCTTTCAGCTTCTCACACTAGTGAAACAACAGGATATTTACACATGTGTGTCTGACTTATTTTACTTATGAGTGTAATCTCAAGTTGCATCCATTTACCTATAAAAGGTCTACAGTTTATCCCTCTTTGTGGCTGAGTAGTATTCCATTGTATAAAACATCTTTTTTATGGATTCCTTAGTTAATGAGCATTTAGGTTATTTCCAAGATCTACTATTACAAACTGTGTAGCTATAAACATGGGTGCACATATACCTCTGTGCTATGATGTTTTTAATTCTTCTGGGAAGATACCCAGAAGGGGAATAGCTGAGTCAAATGGGACCTCCAATCCTAGTTTTTTGAGGAATCTCTACAATGATTTCCAGGTGGTTACCCCAGTCTACAGTCCCATCAACAGTGGAAAAGTGTTTCTTTCCCCCACAGCCACTCCAGCATTTGTTATTCATTGATTTCTTGATAATAGCCATTCTTTCTGGGGTGAGGTGGTATCTCAGTGTTATTTTACTTTATTTTGTTCTCTGTGATGATCCATGTGAGTTTTTGTAGTAGATAGTTATATCACTAGTATGAAAGCCCCTCTAAAAATGTTTGTTCTTCAGGTATATCTTCTATGTTTAGGAGGTTCTTGTTTTATGTATGTCCCAAGATCCTACCTGCCCAATTAATTAAGAATGGGATGTTGGTATCTATTTGGCTTCCAGGCCTTTGGTGTAGGGCTGTGGTGAGGTTATTACCCCAAAGCTTCCCGGTATTGTTATGGAAGAGAGAATGACCAATTGAACAGATATGACATCCTTGCTAAAGTAATTTAGCAATAACAATAGCATCAAGCACAGTTTAGCAATTGGCAAACTGTGGTGATTGATTTTGTACTTTAGACCTAAGAGCAAAGTCTATAGTTGTATAACATAATGGATCATAAATTAGGAGTTTGTATTCAAAGTGTTTCTGCTTGGTAGAGTCGTTTTACCCCGCAGTGGGGAAATTTAGGAAGGAAAGTGTATAAAAAAAAGACAATGGAAAGGAAATAGAAGCAAGGTTGGAGGACAAAGGATGATCACCCAAGACTTGGAAAACTAGAAGGGGATGGAAAAGAAAAAATGAAGGCATGTGGTCCGACTTGGGCTCTGATTTTGGGGAATGAAATTAGTTTTCTGTGATGGAAATTTTCCCTAGTAGTTTATAAAAGAGAGAACAAAAGAAAAAAAGAAAGAAAAAGGAAATGAAAGTAAGATAAAAACAAAAGTACAAGATAAAATAGAACAAAATTCAATTAAAAAGGAGGTGGCCCCACCTACCCGCTTCCATCCCGTCTCTGGCCCTATGCACAACACCAGTCATCTAACTTACCGCCTGTTGGCTTGTATTTTGGACTTTTCCATCTTGCTAGTCTTGCCTGTCCACCGTGTGCACCCTCGTTAGGGTCTTTCTGTGTGGCCTGGGTGTCCCAGTCCTGTGATGGATGAGGAGGGGTCAATCCACTTGAATTCCTCTGAAAGATCAGTTGCTGCGTTCTGGATTCTTCCTGTGCTACTTTCCATCCCGCGGTGTGAGGCAGGGACCAGGTGCCTGACTTCCTGTGGGCGGAGCCAGCCGCTGTGCATAACCTATTTACTATGTGTATTGTTTATTGTCATCTCTACTACTCGAAAACAGGGGTCTTTGTCATTTTTTTTTTTTTCATTCAACATTCTTTAAGCCCCAAGAAGTGTGCCTGGGACAGAGGAAGAACTCAATCAATAACATAAACTTTGAAAGTAGCAGTTTCTCCTGGCTCTCTAGACCACAGGTCAAAGAAGGCGAACTGAAACAAGGTGATACTGTTGTATTTTAAAACTAGAGTTTTTGATATCAAAAGTGGTCAGGTTATACTTTTTTGTAAAGATTACAATTTTTTGGGAAGTCTTTTATTCACACAGAAAGATGTAGGACTTCAACTGTTATGCACAGCTAAACTTGTCCATTCTACATGAGTACCCCTAAGATGACATGGCTTGCTGGCTTGTTTCTTTGCTTCTTTTCTTTCTTTCTTTCTTTCTTTCTTTCTTTCTTTCTTTCTTTCTTTCTGGCTTAGCTACCTATGGTTTAAAAAATTAGTTTCATGATGCAGCCAGCAAGTTAGTGGGGCAAAGGCCTGGCATTCACAGTTTTTATGTTTAAATAGTTACTGTTTACACAACTCAGCATTCCTTTTTCTTATTTGAACTGATTTTCTCATCAGTGTTGCAAGAGAGAGTAGAGAAATTCTTATCAATAGATTGTGAAATAGAGCTTTTGCTATTTTGCTATAGCCCAGTTTAGCAAAATATTGAGTCCACAACTCAATATTTTTTTCTCATTCCAAGTTTTCTCATTTCCAGTTAAAGTTACTTTTGCTGTATGATTTATTTGAAGTATATCTGTCTTATCTCTTGAGTTAGAAATCATCGCTGGTCTTTCATCGAAATCATGTGTATTTATTAAATTATTGTTGTTTATTCTTCAGCATTTATTGGGATGTCATTACGTCAGGCTCTTTATCAGATGAGTTTCTGAATCTCTGCCCTGAGGAGCTCAGAAAAGAAAACAACACGTGATATATCTGCTCCGTGCTGGGGTTGAAGAAGATGGTGAAGCCTGACTGCTTCTGGGTGGGGTGGAAAGCGGAAATGGGAAGCATTGTGTTTTCAGCTTTCTCTGTGTCTGTCTTCTCAGTTGGTTATGGAATCTATATGTTGACCAAATGTGCTAAAAGCTGAGTTAGAACACTATTTTCTCATAAAATAAATCCTGAACGAATTGTGATTCTGTAGTCTTCCTCAAAAAAAAAAAAAAAAAAAAAAAAAACCAAAACGCTTTATTTAGAGAATCAAAATTTTTTAGAACTTTCCGGGTGTGGTGGTGCACACCTGTGATCCCAGCACTTGGGAGGCTGAGGCAAGGGAATCCTTGCAAGTTCAGGATTACTCTGGGTTACAAAGTGAGCTCAAGATCAGCCTGAACTGCATAGCAAGACCTTGTCTCAAAAAGACAAGAAAAAAAATTCTTTTTTAGAATTTTTAATTGAAAGTATAGATTCTTTTTTCATGAACTCATATTTATTATTTGTATTTTTGCAATATGTAAAGGTTGCCTAAGTTTTGTAGAAGTGTTATACTAATAGGAGGAGCCCCAGGGCTAAAAGTATGAATGGTCAGATGATAATTGCTCCAATAATAAATATATCTACTTTTGCATAATCATTGTTAAGTGAGATTGGTTTTATAGTTTCTGATTTCCATTTTATTCCCAATCTGCCTCTTTTCTTTGGTCTCTCATTGGAATTCTAACTTATGGTAAAAATATATAATTCAGATTGTGATCTGTTCAAAGTAAAACTAAGAAAATACAGGGATGCATCTGTAAACATAGTGGAAGTTTTATCACTTTATCTTTCTTGTAGCTTTCAAGGGAAAACCAATTGTTATGAGAAAGTCGGAAATACAGAAGGTTCTGGTTTGAGGACAGATTTTTGGCAGATTGAAAATACATTGGTTATACTGGTGCATCATATGACATTTCAGAACAACTTCATATTCAATTAATTGTCAAAATTATAAACTACTTAAAGATACATCAGACTTCAAATTAAAACAACATTGAGATTCTGCCTTACCCCAGAAAGAATGGCTATTATCAAGAAATCAACTAATAACAAATGCCGGGGAAAAAGGAACCCTTTTCCACTGTTGATGGGAGAATAGACGGGTACAACCACTTTGGAAATCAGTGTGGAGATTCCTCAAAAAACTAGGGTTAGGGTTCACTTTTTACCCAGCTATTCCCCTTCTGGGTATTTTCCCCAAAGTATTAAAAACATACCATAGCTATATATTTGCATCTATGTTTATAGCAGCACAATTTGTAATAGTAGATCTTGGAAACAACCTAAATATCTATCGACTAAGGAATGGATAAAAAAGGGGTGGTATTTTTATACAATGGAGTACTACTCAGCCATACTCATAAGTATAATAAATCAGACACCCATATGGAAACATCATGTTGTCTCACTAATGTGAGAAGGTAAAAGAAACAACATATGTATATACATATGTACATGTGCATATGTATAGGTATAGGTATATGTGTATATATATATATGTATATATATATAAAAGACAGTTAAGGTAGTTATCCTACAGTGTCTCTGAGGTCATTGAAGAGAAAGATTTGTGTTGGTACTATTCAGACAATTGAATGCAGATGTCTTGTGCTCTGGGTGAATGATCTGGGAATAACAATGCACAATGCATGTACCATTGTTGCTCCCTGATGGTATGTTTTGAAATTTTGTTTTATTTTTTTTATTTGAAGTAAAATGGATTTAAAAAAAGACATATCTGTCTCAGACTGGCACAAGAATGGAAAGATAAGTGAAGAATCAAATAAGATACCCTAAAAGAGCTCCTCACATGCATTCATTTCATATAGAATGTAATGTTAAAATGAAACGTTACCAGTCTTTGATGGGGATGAGTTTTAGTGCTGGAATAATTCACTAGGTATTTAAAAACCATTCTGTGTTAAAAACCATTATGTCTGCCCGGAAGTTGAAGTTCAAGTCCTAAGCTCCGGTACTTATGAATATAACTTCATTTGGGAATAGGGTCTTTGAAGATGCAGTCAGGGTAAGATTAGGTCATACTAGGTAAACAGTGGGCTGTAATCTGATGATCAGTATCCTGATAATGAGAAGGAAATTTGGACACACACAGCAGAGAATGTCACATGACAATGGAGACAGAAAGTGGAGTGATGTTGCCACAACTCAAGGAACTCCAAGAATTGTTAGCACCTTTCATGAACTGGGAAGAGACAAGAAAGTATCCTCCCAAAGAGCCTTCAGAGAGAGTTGTCACTCCTAACATTTTGATTTATGACTTCTTATTGGGAACCCAGCCAGTAATCTTGATTGTCAATATCAAGAACCCGGCCAAGAGTCCCAATTGTCTGTCTTAAAAACGAGAAAAATCAAAAACAGAGACAAGTATAGTATTCCAACCATGTTTGGGAAGTCAGTGTCTCTGGATTGGCCTACTACATTCTGAAAGCAGCCACTATTTATCAGGTGTACACAGTGAGTGACAGGAGGGCTAGGAAGTAAAGGATTACAATTCACCAGAAGACTCAGACTCAAGAGGGCATAGATATGTTATGTTTAGAAGTATCTTGACCTAGAGTATGATCCTGAGATGACTGAAGAAGGCATAGATAATTTTTATGCTTAGAAGAGTCAATGGGGAGTCTCAGATGGGTGGTACCAATAATCCCAATCCTTCCTCTTATCCCACAGGGAAATATGCAAAATTAGCTGTTGTGAATTTGTGATTCCCAACAACTTCTAGCCTCCAGAATTGTGAAACAATAAATTTCTGTTGTTTTAGTCCATCAGCTTGAGGCAATTGGTTATGGCACATGTAGAAAACTAATACAAAAAGGGATATAGATATAGGATGATATAAACTCTAGACATACTAATAAATACAAATGTCAGATGACAAAAACAGAAAAAGTAAGAAACAATATTGATTAAATTTCTTGTTGGCAAAAAATAAGCTTGAAAATGTCCATAATGGAGATGCCCATATAAAAATTTCATCATCTTTTTATTAAATAAGATTATAAATAGAAAATCAAGAAACAAACTGAAAAGTATTTCCAACATATGACAAATATAGTATATTTTTAATGCATATTACTCATGCAGATTGAAAATAAAAGCAATGGTGGGTGTAGTGGCACACACCTCCAATCTCAGCTCTTGGGAGACTGAGCCAGGAGAATATCCATGAGTTCAAGGCCAGCCTACGCTACATAGTGAGTTCAGTGCCAGTCTTGAGTGAGACCTAGGCTCAACAAACAAACAAACAAATGCATTAAGGACAATTTGGGAAAAAATTATTTATACAGAAACTTCAAAGACAAAAGACAACTAGCCAATAAACACTGTGAGCAGATGTTTCTATAATATTTATTTTTTTTGTAGTGTCTTTTTAAAAATTTAATTTAAAGAAAGACTAAACAAAAACAGAAAATGGGTTAAAATAATACATAATTTCAAAGAAAAAAATAAACAGTAAGAAATCACTAGTTGATGATTACAGATTGTCCTCTTACAAATAGTTATTCAAGATACAAAGTGGAGCATATAAGGTGGGGACTCAAACAGTGAGATTGCAACCAATTCTGTTCAACTATCCCACAAAAACTTAGAAATATGGTTATCAATCCTATACACTTAAACATACATGCAATTATTCATAGCTTCAATTATGTTGAGATTGAATAAACCCAAGCAGGCTAATATCACTCTGAACAAAGAATAAGACTATTGCTGGGTTTTACATTATGACACTGCAGGATCAGCACTGGGTATTTTAGTGTCTCTTTTTCTTCAAAGTATCTGTTCATTTCATCATGTGACGTAAGATCAGTTTTCATAAACTGTTTATAGATTCTACATATGCATGAGTCTTAACATATATTTCTATCCTTTCTATATTAGAGAAACAAAACAAAGCAAGGCAAAACAAAACATATTCCTATAAACACATTAAATGAAATAAACAGATAAGACCATTGTACAAAGAGTTCTACCATGGTTCCTGTGTTGTCTCTTGTTATCTTCAATAGAATTGGCTTTATCATCAGACATAGTATAATTGAATATATCAGTGCATAACAGTATTAATAAAACCACAACTTTGTATATAGTATAGAACTTCAAAAACTGGCAGTTATCAAACCAGAATATGTATCATAGAGTCTTATCATCTTCAGTGTAGTTGCCTATACTCTTAGACTTGATACTATCAATCATATCAGTTTTGAATAAAATCTTCTCTGCCTCATTTCTGTTATGTTCTTTTTTTGCCATCAGTTGGCTGCTTATCTTCTTTATTCTGTTTTCTGCTCCATGCATTGAGGCCTCTCTGCCACTGTTCCTGGAATCCTAGTACTTTTCTCTCTCTCTAGAACGCCCTGTAGTATTCTCTGTAGAGTTGGATTGCTGGTTGTGAATTTCCTAAGTTCCTCTTTGTCTTGGAAGCATCTTGTTTCTCCATTAATTTCTAAAGATAGGTTAGCAGGGCATATCAATCTGGGCTGGAGGTTATTTTCTTTCAGGGCTTGGAATATTTCACTCTAGGCTCTTCTTGACTTGATGGTTTGTGTCAAGAAGTCTGTCGTTATTCTGATGGGCCTTCCTCTGTAGGTTACCTGTTTCTTGTTTCTAACAGTTTTTAATATTCTGTTCTTATATTGAATTTCTGGGATCTTGATTATTATATGCCTGGGTGTAGCTCTGTTTTGGTTGTAAATTGGAGTTCTGTATGCCTCATATATCAGAATATCATTTTCTTTTCCTATGTTTGGGAAATTTTTCTTAATTATGTCTGTGAATAACCTTTGTTGTTCCTTTGTTTGTACCCCAGCTTCTTCATTCACATTCTTTATTCTCAAGTTATAGATCCTTTGTTGTCTTCTAGCCTTTGTATTATTACTGCTTGTTTCCTTGTTATTTTAAAAAAAGTTTTTCCTTTCATACTCCCACATTAAAAAATTGTCCTCCAGTTTGGATAATCGATCCTTAGTTTCTTTCAAGCTGATTTGCCAGCTTTCAATGGAATTTTTAATTTCCTGGTGATCTCTTTGAATCTGCTTCATGTATTCTATATATTTTTTTATATTCTTCACTAAATAGTTCTCTCCTTTGTTTGAGTTCCTCCCTTCTTCTGTCTGTGTCTGCTTGAGGGGTGCTTAGTATTTCTTATATTAATCTTCTTAATCTTGCTTTATT